CATCAGAGACAATTTAGAAAATGTAGGTGTAAGAGCACATTTCTTCTTTGGCCTCAGGTTCCAAAATGGCTGGATTAGGAGTTCAAAAACACCACAACTTACATGGCAGGCTCTACCTTATCCTTTCAGAACTGCTTTGTTTTAAATACTAGCTTTTGTGAAAAATGATATCCAAGGTTTTTATCTTCTCATTTCATTAGCTACACAATACTGCAAAAATAATGTTTTCAGCTTACAACAACATAAATCAAATAACCTTTGTAAACTAGCACAGAAATGAACCCATTATTTACCTCATTGTTTCTATGGGAAAATATGTTCTAAGTTTCACACAATGCACTTGCCAATAAATCTCCCAGACACAATTATAAATAGATGAACGAAAGTCCTTTAGCCCCAAACAACCATTCTTAATTTTAAGTTAAAAAAAGTAACACACAATACCCAGTTTACGATTACAATACAAGAATAGAATTCTTTTTTGTCAACAAAACAGAGGCAAGGAAAGAATAAGCCAGAGAAGTAACAGTTTTAGGTATGCATTACATAAAAATTATTCAGATAGGAATGTTTTATTTAAACAGATATTAAAATGTTATTAAACTATGAATGCTCTAATAGCTATGTCTCAACAATTCCTATATAGCACTTGCCTCCATTCTAAAAATAACAGGTTAGCATCTGCTTACCTGCATCTGGTGGTTAGTCATTCAATCCATTAATTATTTTTTGGTAGAAGATGAATAGAAGCATTCCATCTAAACCATCCCCCAAATTTAGACTACATGCCATCAGTGGGACTTTGCTCCTCATTTCGGTCATGAAGTTAAACTCCACATAAAGTACTCCCAGCTGTCCATGAGAGGTGGGTGGGTACCTTTGTCTGAAATCTCAGCCACTTAGAATCTCAGCACCCATTTCTTTTTTTTTTAAATGAGAGTAATAGTGATATTTATTAAGAATAGTAAAGTTCATCAGAATAGAAAGGTATTGTTTTAGAGGTAAAAGTCTCCTCAGAAAGAGAAGTCAAGACTGACCTAACCACTCCTCCTTCCCTCCTTCCACCACCCCCAAAGCCAGGGTTTGAAGTTAGGGCCTCGCATTCACTTGGTTTGCTTACTTGCTTATTTGGTGCTCTACCACTTGAGCCATACTTCCAGCCTTGCTTTTTGCTGGGTATTTTGTTGGTGGTGGTGGTTGTGGGGCTTGAACTCTGGGCTTGGGCGCTATCCCTCAGCTCTTCAGTTCAAAGCTAGCACACTACCACTTGAGCCACAGTACCCCTTCTGGCTTTCTGGCGGCTTATTGGAGATAAGAGTCTCACAGACTTTCCTGCCTGGGCTGAGATCCTCAGATCTCAGCCTCCTGAATAGCTAGGATTACAGGCATAAGCCACCAGCTCCTTTTGGAGTCCTAATAAATGACTGCCAATTTAAATAATAGTATTTACATATATGTGTAAAGGCACACCATATATATGTATATATATGTGTGTGTGTACGTGTGTGTATACACAGACACACACACATACATGCACACACAAAAGAAGGGAGCCTAGAACCAGTGCTTCCTTGTTACTCATTTTGATCCCTCTGTCGAGGGCCTCATATGATCTTATTCTAGTTTTTATTGCTAGTACTCATGGGCCCATTTCTTTTCTTTTCTTTCCTTAAGCTTTGTTGCCTCCTCCTTTGTTTTCCCCTACCATCCCTTCCCTCCCACCTCCACAACGACTCACCCCCCCCCAACCACCCCGCCACCGCCAAAGTTGTAAAATTCCTTTTCAACATAGTGTTTTGTACATCTCATTGTTTTGATGGGTCAACCTGTATCCTTATTTAAGCATTTTGTTTTCTACTTATTTTTTACAAACAATTCAGACCTCAAATCCTCTCTTACTCTCAAAGCTCATAATCTGTGAGCACACACTGTAGGTTCTGTCTGTGAAATGCATCTAAGATCTAACTCCTTTTTACCTTCTCCTCTTCGTGATGGTAAAGCAGCAGCTTACAGACCTCTTTACTTCAATTCTTTGACTTTTATGCTGTTCTCCACTGTGTAGGAAGCCCAATGATGGCAGCCTCTGGACGAAGCCCTCCAAAGATTTGCCCATGTTGGATGTACTGGCAGAGCAAATGTCTGTCTCACTATCCAGTCATTGTACTTGATCTTTTACCCAAACGTTTAATCCATTTTAAAGACTTTTTAAAAAAATGACAAAGCCAGGCACTGGTGGCTCCCGCCTGTAATCCTAGCTACTCAGTAGGTGAGGTCTGAGATCACAGTTCAAAGCCAGCCCCGGCAGGAAAGTCTGTGAAACTCTTATTTCCAATAAACCACCAGAAAACTGGAAGTGGCGCTGTAGCTCAAGTGGTAGAGTGCTAGTCTTGAGCTGAAGAGCTGAGGGACAGTGTTCAGGCCCAGAGTTCAAGTCCCTTGACCAACAACAAAACAAAACAAAACAGTGTCTCACTTTGCAGCTGGTCTTAACTTATCCATCTTCCTGCCTCTTCCTCCTCAGTTCTGAGATTCTAGGCATGCACCATCATGCTTGACTCCTTTTCTTATTCCTTTCTTGCCTCATGAAATAGTCACATAATTGTCCTGTTTGCCTTTTCAGTTACTGCTTCCTTTACCCACACTGCCAGATGGCCACATGGTTCGTGTCATCACTTCCTATTAGGGCTCTGTTCAGGAATCTTCTTAGAAGACAGACATTTCTCATCCACCTTTACATAAAATAGTACCCTTCTCTTTGGATTATTTTACTTTTCTTTAGTCTCATTAATATCACCACTACATGTTGGTTTGCTTGTTATATAGCTCCAGCTGGCCTTCAGCTCTTGGTCTTCCTGTCTCACCCTGGGATTGGAGATTTGTACCACAAAACTGACCACATAGAGCATTTGTCATTTGCCAGATGTCATTCTAAGCACATCACACAAGTTACACAAGTTAATCCTCACACCACCTCCAAAGTGGGTCATGTTACTATCTCTGTTTTATGGATGAGAAGATTAAGGCATTCAGAAGTGAAATAACTTGTACCAATGTCACAAAGCCAAATGCTGAAGGTGAAATCTGAATACAAATTCTGTGGCTCCAGAATGTAGTGTTTTAGTAATCCCTCTATTGGTCTGTTTTATGTCTCTAACCATCACCCTATTTTATATTTATCAGCTCATACTCTTCTCTTACTCTTCTTATTTCAGTTGTTAGCTGCAAAGCCAACCATCATCCCAAACTTAGTGGCTTAAAGCAACAACTTATCATGTCTCAGGAATGGGGTCAGGAATTCAGACAGGATGTGATGAGGCTGTTTTTCTGCCCCACTTTGCATTGGCTGGTATCCCTTTGCTACATTCAGCTGGTTATTGAGTTGGTCTGGAAAGTCACAAAAGCAATACTCACAGGTCTGGCATTCCAGGGTTCCTTCAGGTGGACTCTTCACATTGTTCCTTACCAAGCTAGAGGACAGCTGGAGCCTCTTTAGAACATTAGTTGGTGGCATCTCAGAGCAGGATATGGATATTACTTGAAGATTTTTTTTAAAGGATGTTTATAAGAAATTGCCATTCTAATTTTTCATAGTAGTTATATAATTTTATGTTCCCATTTGTGTTTAAAATCTTTCCAGAACTTGTGGATACCAGTGGCTCATGCCTGTAATCCTAGCTACTCAGGAGGCTGAGATCTGAGGATCACAGTTCAAAGGCAACAAGGGCTGGAGAGTCCATGAGACTCTTATAACCAATTAACCACCAGAAAACCAGAAGTGGCACTGTGGCTCAAGTGGTAGAGTGTTTGCCTTGAGCTGAAGAGCTCAGGGACAGGGACCAGGGCCCAGAGTTCAAGTCCCATGACTGACAAAAAAAAAAAAAAAGAATTTCCAGAACTTATTTTCCACCACAATCTGGAGAATATGTATGGTCATATTGCCTAGCAATCCTTTATTATTAGGGTTTATTATTCTAAAGCATAGCAATGTGATCTAGGCCTATTTAAAACACAGGGACAACAGGTGAGTTTCAAGGCTTCCTTTTCCCAGACATGCCTTTCCTTTTTCTGTCTCTACCTCAAGAAGTCTTGCAGCTTAAAGGAGAAAGAAGATGCAGACTAATATATGACCACTGTGTAATATTGTTCCGTAAGAGGTTAGCAGAGTGTGAGAGTTGGACCAACCAGAGAAGCTGATAGCAGATATTCTGAGTGGTGATGTATAAAGGTGACGGATAGGCTCAGCAATACTGTCTGGCTACGTGTAAGTTTCGACTGCTGTTGGACACCTTTGGTTTTCAGAGATGCCACCTCAGGGCTGGGTGATTTTCTGTACTGGGCATGTTGTTGGCTGAACGGCTGCAAAGTAAATTTTACAGTTGGGCCGGGCATCCGGGCTGCAAAGGAGGTGAGACTTTGGTGAGCGAGATAAACCTTTTCCACGCTTGACTCACATCTGCGGTTGATGGTGTAAATATCGGTTTACAGGTCCCTAGCAACAGGGATTTCGCACTCAAGAGGCACGTGCAGAAAGGATGGAGATGGAGATGAGGATGGGGCTGCGAAGAGTAGTTGGGGAAACTGTGCTCCAGGCAAGCCGACTAATTTTACTGATTGTGTACTGGGAAGCCTGCGGGGCTTATTTCTTCGCAAAAAGACTAGAACACACACACACACACACACACACACACACACACACACACACACGCTACACACACGCTCCGGGCCGCCCGTTGCCATGGAAATGCTGGTTAGGCCCGGATGACTACGTGTTGCATCACCGCTGAAGCGCGCTCAGGGACTGGCGGTTCGGGTAAGGCGCTGTTGCCCATGTTTCAGTTCGCAGTGCCTGACGCAATCTGAATAATTTTGATCCCAGTCAGACGCCGTCGACCGTCTCTGGCGCCGAACCCCTCCTACTCTGGTAGCAGTCTTTTCCCGCCCCCTCCCCTCGCCTAGCCACTGTCCGGCCCCGCCCCGGCCCTGAGGCCCCGCCCCTGTGAATCAGCTGATCTCGCGAATCCGCGGGGCTGTCGGGTTTGCGCCCAGAGCTCAGCGCGGCGCTGCCGGTGGAGCTTCAGGTGAGCGAGTGCGGGTTCCCGGGCGGCCCTTGGCTTCCGAGGGCTGGTCCGCCGGGACCTCCTGTGTGCGGGACATTGGGGTCCGGGATCCGGGAGCGACCCGGCGGCTCAGGCCGAGGCCCGGTGCGCGCTGCGGTGGCCTGCGGAGACAGCGCCCGCGTCTTTCCAGCCCTGCGTCCCACCGACCGGCCGGCGCCTGAGCCCGTGGGGGAGCCCGGGACGGTGCCCTGGCCCTGGCCCCGGCCTGGGCCCCAGTCCAGGCCCCGGCCCTCCCTCTCTTCCCGATCCCGCTCTTCTCAGGACGGGCGCCACTTCGGTAGTCTCAACTGCGTGGGATTCCTTCTTGTCCCCTCTTTCGCCGCCACCCACGGCTTCTTTACACCCATTCATTCCCGAGAATTTATTACATGCCCCTAGTAGGAGCTGAGCCGAAAAAGACGGGGTCCCTGCCCCTAGACTTCGGTGAGTGAGCCGGGAGAGTTGCCCCAGGGTACAAATCCCGGTGAAGAGTGTACCCAAGCTATTGGGGCTTGAAAAGACAGTTGCGGGAAGGGGGGCTGCTGGTGGTGGTGGAAGAAAATTACTTTATATTAGTAGTTTAGCCAAATCCCCTCTAGCAGATTAAGTAATAGGTAAAGTTGTAAGGCGTTCGTTCTTAAGACAGGAAAAGAACATAGGGACGATCATGAAAGAAAGGTCCCGCAGGCTGGCGTTGTTCCTCCAGGTAATTGTTGGAGACACCGTTGTCGACTAGTAGAAGTGAACTGCTGCTTAGGAAGAGCATTTTCTTTCTGGTTTAGGATGAAGGAGGAAATAAGTGCTGTCCCCAAATGAAGACATTTACCCTGTTGCTTTTATATCTGTGAGTTGTAGATGTTCTTTTAACAGCTACAAGGAACGAAAGACTGTGGTGTTATGCTTATTTTGAGCAGGTACAAACATTCAGCAAAGCAGTTGGTCACAATTTTTATATATAACATAATTATATAACATATTTACATATGTGTGATTTGGGGTGACCACTTGATCTTTGAGTTAATGAATCTTAAAGCAGTGAAGAATTGGCTTTTGAAATAAATTGCAGTAATACAAGTTTAGTGATTAAGATCTGGACATACCTTGAGTCACATCCACTTACATCTTTGTTTGAGCAAATTATTGAACCTCTTTACCTCAGTTTCCTTATGTCTAAATTGGAAATAAAAGCGCTTTCCTGATATTAATACCTTTATATGCAGTGGTTCACATCATATTTATTGCAGAGCCTTAATCATGGTAAATATTAAGTGCATATTAACTTTACATATGTATACCTGTATGAATACAGTGTCTTAGTATATATGGCCCAGGGTGACCTGAACTCTTGTAGTCCAGCCTCGCCTCCAACTTGCCATCATTCTTTCAGGAGGGATCACAGATGTCCTTCACTCTAGGTTCAGTACATATTAATGCCTTTTATAACTGTTGTTCCACTACAACATGAGCCAACTACATAACTCTTTTTTTCTCCTAACTGGCGGGCATATTAGCTTAATATTTTACTAGAACATCTATAGTTCATTTTCTTAAATCAAGGAGACTTTCTAGGTATTTTTATGGTATTTATATTTAGAGAAAATATGATTTCTTACTTCCTAAACTGGGATTAGAGTTGATGGGTATTCAAGGTTCAAAGTTGCAGCAAGAAAAATGGAAAGCCATTTCATAATGTCAAAATTTGAAAAGACAATGGTCTGAAAAATAAAAGACCAAGCAGATATTTGGGGAAGGGGGGATGAGTAGCATTATGCAATCCATTGATTTTTAAAGTTGATTTTTAAAATTGATTTGGTGTGGGTCCTGGTAGCTCATGTGTAATTTTAGCTAGCTACCCAAGAGGCTGAGATAGGAGGATCCTCGTGTGAAACCAGCCTGAACAGGAAACTCTGTGAACCCCTTACCTCCATTTAACCACCAAAAAGCTGGAAGTGGAGCTGTGGCTCAATTGGTAGAGTACTAACCTTGAGAAAAAAAAATAGATTTGTACTTCTTCATCTTCCTCCTCTTCCACCTTTTCTTCTTTTGGCAATTTGAACTCTAGGAAATTTGAATTCATGGCACTTAGAGTCTCATGCCTGCTCAGCAGGTGTTCTGCCATTTGAGTCATTCCTTTAAACCAGCCCAAATTCTTTCTAAATTTGAAACATTCTAGTCTTTTTTGTTTTGAGACAGGGTCTTAACTATATATTGCTGGCCTAGAATTGTTTCTGGTTGTTTTTTTTTTTTTCTGTTTTTTGTTTTTGTAGTGCTGAAAATCAAACTCAAGTGCTTTACCACTCTACCATGTTCTCAGCTGGCATCGAACTTTTGATCTTCCTTCTTCAGCATCCTGAGTGTTGAGATTATAAAATACCTGCTCTTATGTTGGATATTTTGATTGTTAAAGAAGAAAGAATTTGTTAAGAACTTTAAAGAATCCTGATTTCAATTTTTGTGTGATAAGGTGGAAAGAGAACTGTTCATCTCTTACTTTTTCATGAAAAGCAGGTTTAAAGCAATTTTTGCCAGGTCCCTTCTAAAAGTGTTTCTGAAGACTATCACTGGCTTACAGTAACTTTGTCTAATTTTGTACTGATATGAGACTAGGTAAGGATAAGTTGAAAAAACTGAAGGAAGATGGAGTGGTTTTTGTGATTGCTGAAGGCCTGCTTTGATTTTTTTTTTTTTTGGTTTGGTCATAGAGTTTGAACTCAGGGACTGAGCAATGTCCCTGAGCTCTTTTGCTCAAGGCTAGCTCTCTACCACTTTGAGCCACAGTTCTACTTTCTGTTTTCTGGTGGTTAATTGTAGATAAGAGTCTCATAGACTTTCTTACCCATGTTGTCTTTGAATCGCAGTCCTCAGATCTCAGCCTCCTGAGTAGCTAAGATTACAGGCATGAACCATGAGTGCCAGGTTGCTTTGATGTTTTGAAGAGCTGAGTAACTTCAAAATCATTTCGCTTTTTAAAAATTTTGCAGAATTAGGAAGTAGCACTCTGGCTTAAAGTGGTAGAACCTTAGCTTCAAATCAGGGACAATGCCCAGGTCCTGAGTTCAAGCCCCACAATGACAAAAAAAAGTTAAAAAAAAAAGCAGAATTAAACACATTCTATTCTATTAAATAATGGAGATTTTCTTTTATTTTTTCCACAATTTTTAATTCTTATTATACAGGTGATTGTGTGAAGGGATTACAGTTTTATAGGTCAGGTAATGAGCATATATATATATATATATATATTTTAATTTTTTTGTCAGTTGTGGGGCCTAAACTCTCGGGCACTGTCGCTCAGCTCTTCAGTTCAAGGCTAGTGCTCTACCACTTGAGCCACAGTGCCACTTCCGGCTTTATCTGCATATGTGGTGCTGAGGAATTGAACCCAGGGCTTCATGCATGGGAGGCAAACACTCTTACCACTGAGCCACCTTCCCAGCATGAGTATATTTCTTGTTACTCTTCCTTTACTTTCTCCCAGTTTTCCCCTCACATACGCTAGAGATTTTCTTGCGTTTTTTTGTTGTTCTTGTTGCCAGTACTGGAGCTTTGCACTTTTGCATGGCTTTTTCATACTACCTGAGCCACAGCTCTACTTCCAGCTTTATCTCTTTGGAGATAAGAGTTCCTTGGTTTTGTCTGCCTAGGCTGGCTTCCAACTTCAATCCTCAAGTCTCAGTCCCCTGAGTAGCTGAGCCATCTGTGGGGGTTTTAGAGTATTATTTTCTTTTCTTTTATTTCTTTTGCATGTTCTGGGGCTTGAACTCTGGGCCTGGGCACTTGAGTTTTTTTCTTTTGCTCAAGGTGGTCCTCTACCACTTTGGCCACAGCTCTACTTCTAGTTTTTGTTCTTTCCTTCCTTCCTTCCTTCCTTCCTTCCTTCCTTTCTTTCTTTCTTTCTTTCTTTCTTTCTTTCTTTCTTTCTTTCTTTCTTTCTTTCTTTCTTTCTTTCTTTCTTTCTTTCTTTCTTTCTTTCTTTCTTTCTTTCTCTCTTTCTTTTTCTGGTTGCAGCCTGGGCACTGCCCCTCAGCTCTTCAGCTCAAGGCTAGCACTCTACCACTTGAGCCACAGCGCCACTTCCGGCTTTTTCTGCTTATGTGGTGCTGAGGAATCAAACCCTGAGCCTCATGCATGCAAGGCAAGCACTCTACCACTGAGACACCTTCCCAGCCCCATTTTTGTTTTTTTGTAGTTAATTGAAGATAAGAGTCTCACAGACTTTCCTGCCCAGGCTGGCTTTGAACTGAGATCTTCAGATCTCCTCCTGAGTAGCTAGGATTGTAGGTGTAAGCGGCCAGTACCCAGCTAGAGTTTTGTGTTTTTAGTGACTTTTAAAAATCTCTTTCCACTAATGACCAAATGATTCCCTTATTAGTCATAACAAAGTCGTAGATTTGTAAGGTATCAGTGTTTAAGAAAATGCCTGGTAACCACAAATAAAATAGCAACAAACTATAACTGGGTTCTTTTATAGTATTACACTCATTGTTTTATCTGTATCTCCTTTTCCTCAAGGTATATTTGATGAGGGTATCTTTAGATCATGTCATTTTGGGGGTTTGGGGCCAAGAGGGCTTGAATTCAAAACATACTTGCTTGGCTTGCTTGCTCAGTGTTGAGCTATCCATCCAGCCCTGCTTTTTTTTCTGGTTATTTTAAAGATGGGAGTCTCAAGGACTTTTTTCTTCTGGGCTGGTTGGGAACTACAATCCTCTAGATCTCAGCCTCCTGAATAGTTAGTTACAGGCATGAGCCTCTAGTAACCAGTTTAATGTATGCCTTGATGTTTTTCTGAATGTAGATGAACTAAACTAGTTGATCCAAGTGGGTTGAGCAAAACTATTTAAATCAGTGAAGTATTGTATTGTAAAGTATTCTTTGGGTTATTATATAGTTTTTTTAAATTTGAAGAATGTGCAATTTTCTCAATTCTAATGAGAAAAAGAGTTTGTGTGACCTTGTGGTAGAGTGTTTTTCTGCCAGTG